CATTTAATTTTGTGTGGCCAAGTAGATGGCCTGCAATACACACACACACACACAATTGCTTTGTGCGCAATTACTCCTTGGTGCGCCATCTGTTGCCAATGAAGCTATTGTCAGTGAGTTTAACGCCACATATGTATAAATATTCAAGAGACCCAATGGTCTACTCCGTGCTCGAGTTGAATGGTTGTGTAGTCACACTCATTTATACATACCATGTGTTGTTGTAGTTGCGTATATGTGCGTGCATTGTAGTTTTCTTTTTGTAGTTGGCCGTATCAAATGAAAAGTACTCAGGCTATTATTAGCTTAACTATGGCAATATGTCCTTCAACAGCATACTCGTCCATACACATACACACATACGTATATGTATAAACGCGCGCACACATTTGCTTCATGGACATTTCTATAACGCGCACACATTTATGCAGACAATCAGCCAGTTTAATGTTAAAACTTTGGTCATATTAAGTATCAGCAAGGAAACATGCACTTCCAAAAGAAGTTCATACACTTAACTCAAAAGTTGGCTGGCAAGTTAGCGCTAAAAGTTCAGTCATGGGTAAGCAGTTTGCAACAATTGCTGGCAGCGCTACTGTTGCTCCTTTGTCTTTGTTTCTATTCTTTGCTACTTTTTTCTTTTGCTATTTTTGCATGCTGCGCCTGCGGCTGTATTACGGTAATTTTGTACTAAATGCTGACAGCTAAGCTTGTGCATACACAGTTGCATGATATGGCAAGTATTCTTTTGTTGCTCATTACAACCCACAATTGCTTACATTGTAATAGCTGACGCTATCTAAGCACTTATTTTACAACAAATTCGCAGCTGCGGCGCAAATATTTTGGCTCCATATATGTATGAGTATAGACAGCGTGTATAAAAGAAGTATATAAGTTTTCATTCACTTTTGTGAAATTTTGTAGCAGCCTTCATAACGTTTTTGTTCCATCATTGGGTTTTCATGCATTCCTTTTTATGTAATCTCGTCTTCATTATTAAAATTATTTTCGAATAATGTTTATAGTAAGTAGCAGTAGCGAATATTAACTGCAATCTAAACAAAATTTTTTCTTACCATAGTTCTATTATTGAGTTGTAAGGCCCTAAGGTTTTTTGGGTAGCACAAAACACTGCTCACAAAATAAGAGTGATGCACGTTTCGAAAGTTTTAACTAGCTTTGACTACTTTTACAGTCCCTACATCTGCTTAAATACCAAAAAGTTCTATATATTTGAATAAAAACTTACCTTCAACTCATGTTAAGTTACATATATACACATTTTGTTAGTTGTAATACTAAGTTGTAATTCTTTAAAGTCATAGTATTTATTTGACTTCGACTACTTTGAGGCTTAACAGAAAACACTGCTCCCAATATTGAACTTTTCCAAGTAAATTAGCTATTTTTAACTCACTTTACACTACTTTACTTTTATTTAAGTATCGATAACTCTTTTTGAAATAAATTTTAGTTGCACAGTTGAAAAGTTTCAACTAACTCTTGACTACTTTAAAAGCTTCCAGAGCACCTTAAACCTTTGAAGTGTACATCTGTTCTTTACTTTAGTATACAAAATCTTGAACTCTAGTTAGTGTAGCCAACCGAAAGTACGCTTAGCATAAAATAATAAACTCACTTTCACGCATTAACACCAAATATCAAACTCGAGTTTATGAAGTCTGCTTATTAAACTTTGAGCTTTTAACGCGCAAAAACACACAAACTTAAACACGAGTTTAAATTGTTTGTTACTATATTAAAAAAAAAATTGATGATAAGTTTAAGAAACATTTTTTTTAAAGCTTAGAAAATTATAATCAGATACTGTCAGCGCTGCTTCTCTAGTTTTCTACAAAGCATATGAAAAACTCTCTCAACCGAAAATTGTTTATACTTCAGTTTTTTCATTTTTTAGTCAGTCATCATATCCACCAACAGCGGTTTCTCGCCTAACAACATTGATTTTGATGATACTCCTTGCGAGTAGAATGTTTGAGTACAACTCCCAACAACAAATATATACATATTTTGGTATAACAGTAACCACTTGGAAGCAAAATTTTCTTAACCGCAGGCAATGTTATTGAAGCTTATCAAATTTGAGAGCATTCATGAATCATAACAAATTCAATTTTGTTTTGTAAATAAAACAAACGAGGTCAAAGAATGGAATAACTGAAAATGTGCTAAAAAAAAAACAAGCTTGCGATTAACTACTTATATGTTACTAAGGAATGGATAGATGATTTTTGCAAAGCGGTTTGGACTTACAATTTAAAAGAAAATATATATCGCTAATGGAATATTAATATTAAAAAAATATTGATGCGGTAGTCAATAAAAAAAATTCTTTAAAGCAAAGAAATCGATTTGCGCCTAGAAGCATACCATTTTTCTTCGTTATATTTCGATAGCTCATACATACTGTTAGACTACCTTTACAAAATTTCTATACTTTCTATATATTTTTATTCGCTTTAAGCCGTCAAGTACGCTACCGATTTTTCTGTACGGTACCTAACGCTTGCTGAATTCAACATATTAGTTAAAATATTTTCTAAACATATATATTTTTAATACATTTTCCACCAATGTAAACTAAAAATCCTTACTAACTACCAAACTTTATAAAAATTTGCCAACAAATACTAAAGCTTTGTCTCCTACAATTTACTTCTACACATAAATTACAATACAACTATTATTTTCGCCATCTATTTTAATAAAATCTCAACAGCATATGAGCGCCGATAAATCACGCTGCTAAGGTATCAGGTACAAGTACTTATATCATTTAATTAATGAAGAATTGTGCGATTTATAAGTAGTGGCTATGATTGATACTTTATATAAATGTATTCGTATTGTAATTTTTCGTATCGCTGTGCGTATGTATGTGTGATCGCATTTTTATTGAGTATTTATAAATCTTATACGTAAGTACATTATTATTTTTAGGAAACAAAAATTTATAGTAAATAATTTAATAATGAAATCACGCAAAATTTTAGACAAAAACTTTGACTAAATACTTATGAAACCAAGCTGATTCAAAAACATCGACGGAGAGTAATAAAAGATGGCTGAACATATACACAAGATAACATTTGTTATTAAAATAGTAAAATTAGTAAACAAATTAAAATATATACTGCTTTAAATTGTTTGATATAAAATATACTTAAACCTACTTATGTTTACAAGAATTTATAGCAAACTTATGTCCAATTCACATAAATTAGTGTGCTAATTCGAAAGTTGCTACTTCATTTCAAAACTTTTGCGCCTCTATATTCACGCCGCTTAGTGGTATGCATCAAAAAATGTTCAATAGTTTTCTCATCTACTTTTAGGCGCAAAAATTTTTCTTAAAAATTGCTAAAGCAAGTAATTTTTGAAAATAAAATTTTTTTTCGTAAACTAAAAAATCTTTTAAGTTTTAAAGTTTTAAGTACTCCTAGGTCTTTTGAATCAACTTAGTCAAAATTTTTTTTTATTAACAAACCCCCAAAAGCTCTCTATTATACCAATAGCTACATTAGCTCTTAAAACAAAGTTTTATGTAGTAAAATTTTAAGCACAAAAACAAACATTTAGATAAACATTTATTCAAAATTTTTACTAAAGTTACAATTTTTGTCTCTTCTTCTTTTTCTTCCTTTTTTTGCTCTACCAACTCAACCTCAACTACATAAAAATTAAAAAAAAAAAACAAATAAAATAATAATAATATTGCTGAAAATCGTACAACAACAATTGGCACTATTTCCTTACGAAAATCTAAATTTCCCCCACCAACAACAAAAAAAAAAATATAACAAAATTTATTTGTGAAAATATCACTTGCGTGCTGAACACATGCAAACTTCCACAATTTCCTCTCGCTCTACTAACAAATCAAAATTATTTTGCATTCTGCTGCTTTCTGCTGGAATTTCGTATACAAAATTTGTTTTTCTTTTTTTGTTAAATTTTGTTTTAATTTTGATCATAATTCGAAAATATAAAAATTCGCTCGTGCGTTTCCCAACATCTAACTGTGTTTTTTTTTTTGTTTTTGTTAAATTTTTCGTTTAACTACTTTTAACATTCAACCATGAAACTCGCTACTTAAAATTTTAATTGAAAAATATTAAAAAAAATAAAAATATTCAAACTGAAAATATTTTTGGTTACGTTTTCGCAATAAAATGAAAATATACTCAAATGCGAAACAAATTAAACAACCAATGAAAAACCCATAAACTTTTAATGCAAATACTATTTTTAAATAAATGTTGTAACGTTTTCTTATTACAAATAAATAAAAAACAAACAACTTTTAAATATTCCAAATATTAAATATATGTTGTAATGTTTTGTACTTTGGCGCTCGTTTCAATGTGCATTCGTTGCGTTCGTTCGTTATATCGTTGCATTTGTTACATTTTATATACATGCATATAATTTGCTCTTAACTCGTTTGTCTACTTATTGGGAAAACATCCTGCATTATGCGTTGAATTTATTGAAATCACTTTATTTTACAATATTTCAAAATATTTTACCTATCATCCCGTTTTTTGACATATTTTCTGTTTCTTCTTTCAATCCAATAATTTATATTCTCCACTACTTTAATATACTTATTCCAACCCTTTTCGCCCATACCACTAAATCGCCTTGATCTCATTATTCTTTTACTACCGTTATGATATCCACAATCTATTTATTCCATATTAATTTGCTCAATATTGAAATATTTTGTAACTCATTATTTGTATATCTTTCTTTTTTCTTGTTTCTTTAATTTCTCCAACCCGCCCAAAAAATCCTTTCCGCAAAAACAAAATTAAAAATTAAATAAATAAAAATGTATGCGTTCACTTTATACTCCCTAACCCACTTACTCCACCCACACCCGACCCGACCCTCCGCCGTCCATCGTATATTTGTGCCTTTTTGTATGGACTGCTACTTATCTGCGTAACGTCGGCTATCGTAAATATATTTAGAGCATTTAGATCGCAAACTGTTCGTTGGTATGCTAAGCAAGCAACAAACCGAAGAGGATGTTAGACAAATATTCAGCCCTTTTGGCAGCATAGAAGAGTGCACCATATTGCGTGGTCCGGAAGGCGCCAGCAAAGGTGAGTACAAAGATTTCGTAATTTTCTTGTATTGTACTTCCTTGATCTATGTGTGTGTATTTGTAATTTGTTAGTTTCTATCAATTATAGTTAAATAAAGTAAGTATTTATAATTTATAAAACCATACGAGTATTTAATTAAAATTTAAGAGCCGAACATTTTAATGAACATTCCAGAAATATCTCAATACAAAAACTATTTGCAAATTAATTAATATGCTATTTTAAAGCTTAGACCTTAGATTTAAAAAAAATATGAAGAAATACACGGGACTTAATCAGTCAACTTTTTGATACAAATACTATTATCGATAGCAGTGAAATCGAATGAGCTTTCGCTATAGTAATAATGAACCTATTTACAATGAGCTTTCACTCCATTATCGCTACAAATAGACATTCAAATTAGTTGTGGTCTGAGGTCTGATAGTAAATCAGCTTTCACTTTGTTAAACTTTCACTCTATTGAGCTTTTCTATTTTTGAGCTTTCACATTTTTGAACGTTTATTTGCTGAGCTCACTTCAACTGCGTATATAATAAAAATTTCCGTTCCTATGCATTTCACTCGAGCTTTCTCGTATGTGATCAGTAATTCCAAAGTTTCTACCAGAAAAAAAACTTTTTTGTATGACATATCAATTTGAATATTAAAGCACATTAAAAGATTTGTTCTAAGGAAGCTTTTACAAATCTCATTACTGCATATTTTAAGCTTTTACTGCTAAGAGCTTAGAATTAAAAGCTTTCATTGCTCAGAATTTGAACTGATATAATTTCGTTTGTATTAGGTTTCATTTTTTTTAAGCTGTCACTACAGTAATACTGCATTTGTTTATAACAAGCTTTCAGTTTACTATCGGCAGAGGCTAACATTTAAATTATCTGTTTTGCTTTCTTTACTATGAGCTTTCACTTTATCAAATTTTCACACTCTTGATATTTAGTTTGAGTTTTTTTGAGCTTTTTGATTGTTGAGCTCTTATGCTTTTATGCATTACCTAGAGCTTTCGTTTATGTTCTACCGACCAGTAATTCCACGTGGTACCTTTCTTCCAGAAAAACTTTTTGGAATATCATATATAATTACAAAGAGATTTTTTCCAAGAGAGCTTTCATAAAGCCGAGCATTATACAAGTATAGTAACTTCTAAGGGCTTTTAATGAAAATATTTCCTTGCAGAGAGCTTTCACTAATATAACTTAATGCATATATTTAATTTCATTTTTGAGAGCTTTCACTTTTTTTTTCAAGTTCTAAACTCAATTCAAAATGCTTTTAGAAATATTATTATTAATTTTTGTTTTTAGTAGTTAAACCGAACTCATTATAGCCAATGCCGGTTGCCAATAATGCAAAGTTTTACCTATATATTTAAAAAGCTTTTTTCGATTTATCTCTCAAGCCAACCAAGCACTTTCCACATTATAAATTTTTAGCTTTAAACCTTATTTATATGCAATAAAAAGCACTTGCATTAAATAAAGATGTAAAAGCATAAAAAAGTTCGCGCTCACTGAAGTTTTAGTTAATGTTTACGATGCTACGGTTATTGCATAACACACACACACACAAATACGAATAATTTCAGTGTAGCTATAATCGCCAATAGTTATAGCAGTTGTTTTTGCTGTTGCAAGCAATACTTGCAACATGGCTCCCACCGCTAGTCGCTGATAATGATATTGCCATTGATATGCAATACCAAAGAGCAGCCGACAACAACTACAACAATAACAACCAACAGCAAACAATTGAGCAACGTGCCGCAGCTGGTGCATTCAACCAAATAATAATCACAAACATAACAATAACAATTATATAATATATGCAGCAATCAATGTAAACACAAACAAGCATGCACACACACACATACACAAATATATATACGTATGTCTGTATAGAGCAACTTAACATTTATAAAAATGAAGTAAACAGTTCAATTAAAGTGCCGTGTCGCATACCAATACCTCGACTATTAAATGCAACGCTGAATGCTGTTAGCTGCTCTTGGTCACATGGTTCATTGGGCTGTAGCGCTAAATGACTGAATGGCGGCGCGTCTGACACGGCGGCTAAACAACTGGCTAGCTGTCGAAATGTTTGCCCGCATGGTTGGCTTTTCGGTGCGCGCTATTTACTTTGTGGCAGCGCTGAGCATGCAACACACATACACACACACATATGTACACACGCTCAACACACAGTTACATAGTAACGGAGTGTATGTGAAGTACATACATGCGCTGGCATAAAATTTTATTTAATGTTATGCCAAAGTTAAATATTTAAATGTGCTGCCATTTGCTGTAGTCTGCTTTTGGGCGCAACTGCAAATGCGCATGCAAAGCAGTAACATTTTATTTTATTATGTCAAACTTTTAAAATTATTCCATTTTAGTTGTATTAAGTTCGTTTTTCTCTCGTGTATTACTATGCAGCACTTTGTTGTTGTTTACTCTGTGTTTGCATATCTTTTGTTGTGCGTCATTGCTCTGTGATTATTTTATGTTGTATTCTAACTTTGGTCATTTTTGTATTTAATCTACGCCTTTTTTTCGTTTGTTTTTTTTATTCTCAACTTCCTTGCATACACTTTTCACATTTTCTATGTATGCGTGTGTGTGCTTTTTTTGTTCCTCTGCAGTGTTTAGTATTCTTTGTTTGTTTATTATCATTGTTCGCTTTTTTATTATTCTTTCTCAATTTTGTTGCTTAAAACGCTGAACTTTTGCATATGATAATACACATTGTATTTTTTATTTGACTTCACCCCTCTTCTCCTCTCGCTTTCGCACCTTTGTTGTTACAGTTGCTATTGTTTTCATTGCTTTGTCCTTGCCTAATTTTTATGCATTTCCATCTATTTATGTTTACTTATTTTTTGTTTCGGTATTTTCAAGCAAATATATTGCTCAACATTAAAATGGCATATCAAGTGGCTTTGTTTTTTAAACACTCATTGTTTTTAATATTTCCCGTAAAAAGTGGATAAATTATATTTTTTATGTTATTAAGTTCCATAGATACACCCTGATACAGTGCAATTTCGGAATTCTTTTTTTTCAAAATTTATTATCATTGGAAAAGTTTTCAGTAAAAATTATATCTGACGTGTCCTTTGTTGCTGACACTACGACTTTTTCAGATAAAAACCACCATGTTCTCTTCGATAAATTCTTATTTCACAAAAGATTAGAAGCTGCTCTGATATCTTGCGCCATCCTAGTTATTGTTAATTGTAAGATCAGTATATTTCATTATACGAGGATTGCCTTATATATTTCGGGATTAGGTAAAATTGTGGTATATCCAAAACATGCATTCTGAATGCAATCAATCGCCCCTTCAGGCGTTGAAAATGTTGAGCTCTAAGTTCCTAAAATAAATATTAGCTAGTTTACCTTCAAGCTTATATGCGGAAATTCATGATTCATCAGCTGTTTCAATGTCATAGCCGCGTTTTGAAGTACCGCTATCGAATTCTTTTAACATTTTACTCGACCAATCGACACGAGTCTTGTTTTGAGTGATTGATTAATTGTGTGGGGTCCATCTATCTCATGATAGATCGCATGACGATCTTGCAATATCTGTTTGCGCACAGCATCAATAGTAACTGAAACAACAACACATTTCGGATGACCTTCACGAAATACATCTACGACCTCGATTGCATACACCATACCATCGATAAATACTGGTCCTTGATGGTGCTGTATCGCCGAAAATTTAATTAAGTTCATTGATGCACAGTTGCTGATTTAATACACGTCAAAAGTTGTAAAAAATAATAGCACGTAAATTTTCGCGATTTAATTCCATCTTTTGGTCAAGCTGAATATTTGAAGTTACTGTAAACAACGCAAATGGCCTTCATATGTCAAAACGTTCTAAGAGTGTGTAACATTCAAACTGTCAAGCTTTACCATAAAATTGTGAGTTGCAGTACTATGGTATTGGTATGGTGTAAATCCTGAAATAAAAAAGGCAACCTATGTATGTGAAGTAAAATTCCAATATTTTTGTATAAACGCCGGCATTTTGTCAATTTTTAATTGTTCGTCCGTAGGTCACAATATTTTAAGGTTTCATCAACGGAGTAGGCCACAACGAAGGCAAAAATATTTAATTTTTTTCTTCAAAAATTTTACCGAGTAGTTTTTAAGCTTGAAATCAATTAATACAGAAGTGAAGTTTATTTTAATTCTCATGAATTGCCTCAAGATTACCACTAAAAATAAACGAAAAATTTCAAAACTAAATAATATTCAAATAGAATATTTATGCAAGTGAAATTTTTTAATTATATACCTAAGCAAACTATTGCTTAATTCTCCTTTACTCAAAACTTCTGCAGTTCAGCAGTGCTTTCGGAATTGAGCAATTCATAAAACAGCAGTAAAAGGCACCAAATCTGGTTTTTCGGCATATTTTACCTCCAGAATCCCGAATTTGGATTTAAAAATAATACCGAAATTTTAAAATATTAATATTTTTTAAAATACTTTTAACTTCTTATAAAATTTTCTTCAAAATTTTTTTTTAATTTTTTACAGTCTAAATATTTTATTAAAATATTCCAAAAACTTTTTCTCAGTGCACTAAAGACTGCCAACACGCAAACCGCACCACAACGAGCCACATGTGTGCTAAAGCGCCCGCATGTATGCTATGATAAAAAGTAAAACAAAAACAAATGAGCACCCTTCTTTACGATCGCGCATTTGCGCATTTTCACAATGAGGGTAGACACCGTCCGTCATTTAAACGCCTCACGCGGACTCGCAAGCAACCACTTACTCAGCCAGGCAGTTAATCATATGCGCACATATACATGTGTGTGCGTGTATGTGAGTGTGCCTCAACACGCTGTCATTCATTCTACACTTCATTCATTCATAGAAATCAAATTTGCATAATTTAACATGTCGGTTGGCTTGCCAGCTTGGCTTCACTTTGCTTTGGGTTGCTTGCATTGCGGTTTGGCTGACTGGCTG